TTTTGTGATATTTGATTAATCTTTTTGTCTTGATCTTCAGAAGTTTTTATACTGTTTACAATCGGAATTGAAAATAAGTTAAAAGGCTTCTTTTTTCTTTTAATATTGATAGTAATTTTGTTATTACAGCGCAAATTATCCAGAACACCTAAATTTTTGTTATTTGTTGTTAATTCGAATGTGTTTAGAGGTAAACTTAGCTTGTGAGATATATATAAATAAAGTGTTAATGCTTTAACCGCTCTTGGTGGAATGACATATAATTTTGTATCCTTATAAATAAATTTAATGTAGTTTTCCATTTTTGTCACTTTTTAAGATCTTACAAAATATAGTTGATTTTTATCACTATTGAAATAAGATAAATAATGTAAGGACTCTAATTTTGTTATAAATATGAATGAAAACAGTAAAATGGATAACTTAAATATATAAAAATAAATATTGGAACAAAGCTATAACAAATTTTCATTCTTATTTATAAATTGATAAACCAAAGTAATACATTTTATTACATTTCGTGTAACATATACTAATATATAGATATTTTTTGAGATAATGTATTTATCTGTAAAAATTGTATGTGATCAAATTTGATTGATAAATTTATTCAGTAATAATAAATTGCATGTACAATATATTATTGTCTTGCCATTTTTTTGCTCATAATAAAAAATCTTTAAAAATGATAACAATAAAAGAGTATTAAGTAAAAATTTATACATCCAAAATATATTTCAGTAACAGCATAATACGCCTATGCTAATTTTTAGTTCTTAAATTAAATAGATGTCCCTAATCCCATAGATATTCACCAAACTTGGCAAATTCTGAACGTGATCTACATATCCCTAGCAAGTAGATCATATTGGTATACGTATCTTGATCAAATAAAAAGAATATTTGTTGAATAATTTCTGTTCAAATTAAAAGTTCTTCAACTTACGGTAAATCTATCTGCCTTAAAAAGTATTACGATATTATGCAAAGTCAATTTTCTCCAAAAAAATATTTGAAGATGATACTTTAAGTATACCAAAAATACAAGAATTTTGAGAGAACTCAATGAATTTTTGTGAAGGTGGAGTTAAATTGAGAAGATTTTTGGTCAGAGAAAAACAAAAATTACTATCTGATAAAATGGTATTAAAATGAAAAAAGTTTAAACAAAGGAAATGAAGAATTTATATTATATTAGAATTTAAAGAGTAAATATAAAAGATTGAAAGAAAGAATAATAATAGGATTCTTGAATGCAACATTTGGAATGATGTTTCCAGTTGTAGATGTGTTAAGCAAAGAGAGATAATGATAGTTTCTTGAGTTTTGAGTTAAGCTTGTTGTAGATGAGAGAGAAATTTTGACGAGACTGAGGAACTTCATTTGGAATGATGTTTCCAGTTGTAGATGTGTTAAGCAAAGAGAGATAATGATAGTTTCTTGAGTTTTTGCAATTAACCATCCTCAATGACTATTGTTTTAATATAATTTTTAAATTTTTTAAAACTGACATTTTAGTTGTATATTTTTTCTAACAAAGGTACATTCACTAGGCGATAACAGTAAAATGGGATGAAAATATGATAAATAGCATCCCTATATAGTGCCAAACAATATTTATACGGGCCAAAAAAATTTGGCTAGAGATTTGGCGAGTTATAAAACTTAGAAAATTGAGAGGGATTTTTATTTTTGAATTTTTTTTGGAAAGTTAAAATTGCGATTAAAAATCGATTTCCAGGAGAACTAAGCATCTCATCATATATTTAAATCGATAAAAATATTAAATAATAGTTGAATAGTATAACAACGTGAAATTATGGCTGAATCTACAGAAAAAATGAACATATTTGACATTTTTGAAAATTCATACGTTAGATGGTGACAGACTCATAAACTATACTTTAGCTAAGATTGATATATGGTTTCAACAACACATGGTTAAAATTGTAAAAATATTTTAGATTTCAAAAAGGTATATATGGTAATATAATGGAACAAAGTCAACAAATAGCATGTTAAATATGTTATAATTAACTTTTTATTAGATCCAATAGTAGATATCGAATGGTTTCCAGCTTTATGGTTAAATATTTTCTTTTCGAGCTTCTCTTTAACTGTTGTATTAAGGTTGTAAATTTTTGATGCTAGAAACTATGGAATCTTCTTTGCTGCTGCATTTTTCTTGAGAGTTCTTGCAATTTCGAATAGATCTGCGCATTGTATGAAATTGAGGCTTTAAAATATCTTGAAAACAGAATAGGACTGCTTTTCCAAAGGAATGCTTACTTGTAAATCAGAGAGTTTCAAAATTGAGAGCAAGATTATCATCATAACTTTCGATTTTGCTGCGAAAAAGGAAGACAAGTAATTAACAAATCATTTACTGTTGTTCATCAAAAGAAGAAAACTTTGATAACAACTAATGATGATAAAATCAAGCTATCTTTTAATATTTTAAATTGATAAGACATTCAAAATATTTGAATGGTTTAAAATATTTTCTTTTAATTTCTATAAGATATTATCATGATTATATAATAAAATTTAAATTTTTATTCAAAAAGGCAATATTTCAAACTTTTAATTTCAAAAATCTTAATTCTGCAATAAGTGTATTTAATTGTAGCAAATTTAATGATCCTTCGTCATGCTTAGCAATTTGGAACTCATAAATTAATGATTTCTTCAAGTAAAATTCTGCATTATTTCAAAAGTCAATAATTCTCTAGTAACTTTTCTTCAAACCCTAACCATTATATTATATGTATAATGGAGAATAATTGCAAAGAAAGATAGCCGAATATACTGGGTAGTTCTTGTGATGCGAAATAATTGCAAATTAACACATAGTTTTAACAGCATCAATCTCTTTTTGCTCTCATTTAAATGCATTCGCACACTTTAATTTTGAAATATAAGAGTTTTGGAAATTATCAAATTTATCTGCTCAAATACTATAGATCTTCATAAGTGTTAATAGAATCACCAGCCTTACATATAGTGTTTAATATAATGATGCACATCATACTGGGATTTATTCCTTATTCATCTAGTTATTATAAGATTTACAACCCCATGAAAATTTAAAATTTTGTCAAAAATAGTGAATGTACCTTTTTTCTAACACAACTATCAATAAATTGTAATATCATTATACTATATATTAATATGAATTTTTATAGAAAAGCTTTATTTTTTTCTCAATTTTTAATTTCATTTCAGTCTCTAAACTTTCTTACTATGTAAAAACGTATTATTATAGTAATAAAATAAAATACATGTTTATTCGATCTCGTATTTCAAAAAAATAAAATTACTTATATAAAAAGATTCTCTTTAGTCAACTTTCTTTTTGAATCTCTAATAAGTTTTTACTGTTGCTTCTATATATTAAGTATTGATTCTTGTAGTAAAGAAAATCCGGAACGTTTATTTATTAGAATACTCGAACTTTGACTTACATATTACTAATTGTAATTATTTTCAAGAGCTATTTCTATTACTCCTACTTGTTCGGCTTAAAATCTGCTATATTGTTAAGATAAACTAAGTCTAAATTTTGAACCATTTTTTGAAGTTTAAAGTGTAATACATATCGATTTTTTATCCGAATTTAAGAATTGCTTCAAAGTTTTAGCGTGAAATCGTGCATTTTTTCTAATGAAATTGTTATTATAAGATAAGCAATCTGAGTTTTTTTGAATAATATGTCACTACACATGATAGAGCGTTACGTGCTGAAAAGTTACGCTTCGTTCTGAAAGTGGTAATGAAGTTTTATTAGAATTCATCAAAAAAACGTATGAAAATAATCGTATGTCAAAATGTGAGCAATTCTCAAAATTTGCTCACATTTTGACTATTTTTGTGAGATCTTCCTCACAATTTTTTGACAAACGTACAAAAAAGTGCCAAAATGTGAGCAAATGTGAGCAATTTTTATATCTCATAATTTGAAAGACATGCAATTCAGACTTGTTGACTTTCAAGGAGAGCCTATAGAACTGAAGGCACCAGTGCGAATGACTGTTGAAGTTGACTTTTTAGAAAATATTAAATGCAACAGCTTACAAGAGAACTCAGAGCTAAAAATATAAAGTATGAATGTTATGTATTAGGTCATGAACTTTGGTTGTTGCTGTTTGATGAAACAAATGAGTTAGTTATGTCAGTCAAGAGAACAGAAAAATATTGTGTTAGTGAAAACTGCACCAAGTCAATAAGATTAGGTTTGCATTATGAAGATGAGTTCGATACTGTTGAAGAAGTTTTGGATAGATATTACAAATTGCTAACTTGAAATTTTTTTGACTGACGGCGCAAAGCGCCAAGACCGAAGGTCCTGACTGCTTTAATTTACTAAAACATATTTCAAACAAAGTTTATATTCTGTTGAAAGTTTTGTATATTCATTCGAATATTTATACTTAAACTCAACTCCTGTAGTTCCTGGTGTTTCAATGATGCGAATGTTACCTATTTTCATGAATAGTGGAGTTTGACCACAGCATTCGATTTCAGGGTCGAGATAGTCAATGACACATTGTTTCCCTGTTATTCGTGAGATAACATTTTCAAGGTCCTCCTTTGTTAGAATTATTTGGTTCTTGCTTATAAGATTTGTCAAAAGCTTCTTATCGTCTTTGAGTAAGATAGTTTGATATAACTGAAGAAGGTAATGGTCTACGTTATCTGAAGGATTTGTTTGAACATTTGTGTAAGGATTGTCGTTGGCTTCTCTTGAAAGAATTTGGTCTAATGGTGGATACTCTAACTTAACATCTGATGTAGCGTTAGCGTTTGCACTTGAAGCTGAGTTTAAATTCACCGACTTAAGTTCTGGTTCTTTTTCTTTCAAACACTCCGAACTATAGTTCTTTATGACAATATTGTTTGTCGTTCGTGAGTCAACATTTGATGTTGGTTCAATTGGAACATTAACGGCACCAGCTATGATGGATTTGCTTCTCATTTCATATAGAATAAAAACCTTTTATATGTATGAAATGAACAATATACTCGACAAGGGTTTGAATGTAAAGCTAACGAATGAAAATATTGTTGAATTCACTGAGACAGGTGCTGTGTATAAAGATGTAGAACTACTGAACAAAAGAGCTAAGGGAAGAAGCAGGAACATGAACAAAGGGTGGAAGCCTATAAAAATTTATGTCAATGATGGCTCAGGAGGTTCAAACATAAAGTATGCAGAAAGTTATAGAGTTTATGCTCTCAAAGGTGAAAAGCCTTCATTTAAGAACAGCTATTCTAACGCATATCCTCAAAAGCTAACGGATGGGGAAGTGGATGATATGAATGACAGCAAAAATATTAACAGAAATGGCGACAGAGATGCATGGAATTTGTTTACCATCAGTCAATTGAAGGTTAAACTTTAAAACAATGTTGGTCGTTCCCATGGAATATTTTTGACTTTAATGGTATTAGTCATGATATGAATCTCAAGGTATGAACGAGGAGAGATGAGAGACTTATATGCTTCCCAAATTTCTTCAAAAGGTAATGTTATATCTGACTGTTTCCAAATGAGTTCAATATCATAGCGTGAGAAACCTTGAAAGATAACGAAGTCAGTTATGAGACGTTTTATGTTTAAAGCTAAAAACCTCCATGTTTGCATAAGTATTGCTACAGTTAAATGGTAATGTCTGACTTTAGTAATGATGTTAGCTAATGGTGAGTCTGGTTTTGACACTAAACCTTTTCCGGCGAAGTCGTCACAAACTAATAAAGTGTTTGATGGATACTTTTTGAAGGGGTATTTTGAAAGTTTTGACAGAATGTAGTTTGTAAGTCTTTTCATATCGTAAACTCCTGAGTATTGACGTAAGTGGTGTTTGTCAATAATTCTTTCCATCTCCTCAGAAGTCTTTTGCATTCCTGACTGTATAAATTCAACGATGGCATAATATTTCCTCTTACGTCGAATGTAACGTTGAAGAAATTCAATGAGTTCACTGTCTGGAACTTTAACGACAGAGGCTTGAACTTTTGACATAAATGTTTTCGCTGTTGAATCCATAGAGTCTGAAGTTGCTGATATAATGATTTGGTCATAGTAAGAGTCGTTTCCTAAACGCTCTGTTATGAGTATATGACGAATGAGGTTAAATGTCTTACCTGAACCCATCTTTCCACAATAGAAATACACACCATTTGAACAGAATTCATAATCTTTACTGAAAGGAAGAATGAGAGAACTGTTGAGCTTTTCACTGCTTTCATTCATGTCTTCATCTACGTCATGTATTAAATGCTTCATTTTATCTCCATTAAAAATGCAAGTCAGAAATATTCAGAACATAGCACCGAGTCTAACTGACAAGAGTATAAAGATATACTATGAACATGTTATGATGAAAACAACCAAAATTCAAGAAAGTCAGTATACTTATGAATATCCAAGACACTGGGTAGAGTATGTAGGAGGTGAGAAAGCTATTGAAATCAGACAGGTTCGAAGTATTCCAGCAGGAAGAACAATATTATTGAAGAACTTTAATGTTTTGAGGTATAATGATGAAACAAAGAAGCAAGATAGTTTCCCTGTTGCTGTGTATGTGAACTTAGACACAGGAGATGACATGAAAGTTTTTAACACAAAGCTTCAAACGGTAGTGAGAGAACAACTTACTGCGGAAGGACATCCATTACCTTCAGAAGTTACCATAGCATATAATTTTGAAACAAACTCAATAGATTTTAAAGTCGTCTCTGCAAAGAAGTCAGGATTTACATTTAATGAAGCAGATGTCTATTCGAATGAAAACTTCAAAGCTATTGCATGGTTAGATAATGACGATTGCTTTAAGAAAATATTTAAATACAGTGACTCAACGATGTCAATAGATGACCTTCGTGGAATGTTACCATCGACGTTTACAGTAGAAGGTTCAGCAGGATTGCTTACAAGATTGTCAATTGGTGGTATTTGGTCTCGTGAGAACATTGTTATAAAATCCAGTATAAGTGAATTTGCTGAAGAATCTATATTATGTCTTTCAAACTACATGTATTCGCCGCCGAAGCATTATAGTATAACAAACTTTGTCAGTAAGTTTAACATAAGACTTGTCGAACCTTCTTCAATGAAAGATGTTGTGCTACCCAAAGACGGAAAGGATGGACTCATTATTGAGATGATTTTAATAGCATATTAAATGAGCTTGTTCTTGAAGGTCATTCATGATGAAATAACTGTTGTAGAAGATGTTAGCAATTGTTCAGACATTTTGAAGCGTATAGATGATATAAGAAAGAAGTTAGATAGACCGCAAAGCGGTGAGGGCGAAGCCCGTGAGAATGTTTATGTTTCATTGACTTTCTCCAGTAACGAGAACTTTTATGAGATAATATTGAAGAGAGATGATTTTAATATGGTGTAAATGGTAGCTTGGGCAGCTTTAGGCGCAATGGGAACAAAAGCATTAGCATTTGGAGCAAAAGCACTTGGAGCTTATGACGCAGTAAATAAAATGAGTGGAGGAAGGGTTTCGAAGACATTAGATGCAAATAAAGGAAAGATTGGAGGCTGGGTTGCAAAGAAGTTAAGATTAAATAAAATAGGGCTCATAAATAAAGCATCCAATTTGGTTGCTACTGAGTCAGAAAATGCTTTAGGAAAGGACGATGAGTTTGCAAAACACGCAAAAGACTTTAATGACCAGATGAAAGGTGAAACAATGCATTTAAATAGAGTCGATGGAACTAAAGAAAATGTTTCTTCTCCACAACTTCCACCAGCAGTTCTTCCGTATGGTCCCTATGGAATGTATGGAAACCCTTACGAAAGACCATTTGACCCATTGACTGGTGGAAGTAACTGGTATCATTACGGCCGAAGAAGAAAGACAGTCAAGCTGGAGACAGACGTGAAGAAAGCAACTAAAAAGAAACCAAGGAAGAGAGTTATAAAGCAATGAATTCAACAGGGTGAAAAAACAGGTGAAAAAAGAGGTTAGATCTCACCACTTCACCTAAATTTATTTTTGTGCTATGTTTTCATACGTGTGAGGGTGGTGATATCATTAATTTTTATATAAATGACGAAAACTATTGAGATAACAAACTACAACGGTCATGAGTTCAAGAATTTGTTCTTCGTTCCTCGTGAAAATACATTCTATCAGATACGAGGGAGAAAGGGTAAAGTTAGTTTGAGCGTTTATGACAACAAACATAATGGGAGATATATAAAAGCAATAGATACAAACGGTAAGCGTGTTTCATTAGCTTTGTCAAAACTTACTAACATTTATTTTGACAGTGACTTTGACTCTGACGATTGGAGTGACAGCAGCGATACTGAAGAATATGAACTATTGTGTGAAGCACAGCAATGGGAAGCGCTGCAATACTTTTGTAAATGAGAACATTAGTGGGAACGTTAGTGAGAACGTTTATTTTTTCATTAGTGAAGTCGTTAGCGAAAATGTTAGTGAAGTGAAGTGGTTGGCGGCTTTGTAAATATTTAAGGTTAAGTTAGTGTTTGTGTTTGTGTTGTAAAATATACGTTAGCGGTTTTGTAAAGTGTCAAATTCACATATAATGGGTAAGGAGGCGCGCAGTGCCTCCGTACCCATGATATGTATACTAACTTGCATCTATTGCTATTGTCCATTCATATTCAGGTGTATTTTCTACGTGATAGTTCATGCTTTCTAACATTCGCGGAATAAGCTCAGCATGTTTAAAAACTGTTTTCATATTCATTTATGTCTTCATGAAAACCTATTGTACAATGTTACAAGCGTAGGAAAAGGTAAACAAAATTCCAAGAGAACATCATATGCTGCTGGTGATTTGCTATGTATTAAGAATGCCAAATCTACCAATTCACTTTCACATCCATATCTATAACCTCTTTTATCTTTTCTACAAATGTTTTCCATTAATAGTATGTATAATATTTCTTGTAAATTCAGGAACATGTTCCGGAAATTCTGTATTCCAGTAAGTTCTGTCTTGGTGATCATCGTTGTCTTCTTCTATTTCCTTTGTTTTTCTTCCAATATTCTTATTCAACAGACTTCTGCGCATTTCAGCCTTTATTGCGTCTAAGTCTTCTAGGTAGGCTTTATACATATGCATTTTTCCGGTTCCTGTATACGGGAATACCTGAACATCAGTTTCAAATGATCTTTTGTAAATTTGTTTTCGAATATCTTGATTAAATTTAACTAAAAACGTTTCTCGGTCTCCTTTTATTTCAATTTCAAGTTCTTCAATCTTCTTTTTAAGTTCGTTGATGTCTGAGAGAGGAATATAGAATCCAACATTCATTAACTTTTTGAGAGAATGTCAGACCAATCTGAATAAAATAAACTTAATATTTTCTATAATTTCATACTAGAATAGAATTGGTAATGATATTTAATATCTTTTTGCTTCACTTGTAGAAATTATTTTGAAATTAATTTTTTGTAATCGACAAGATACAATTTTGTTATGACCAAATGTTGTCACTACTAATTTAAATTCCATTTACAACAGCTACTTTATAAACATCCATCCAAAATTGAAGATTCCTAAAATTTCAAAATGGAAATATGCAATATGAATGATGAAATCATATCCAATAGTTATGAAATTCATCATACATAAGATAAAAGATAGAAAAATAAGCAAATATGAAAATTTAATGCATAATGATATGTGAATAACTGTAAAATTGCAAAACCACATCAGCATCAATTATTGGCATAAATATATATTCTTTTGATTGTATATGCATTTCTGTTTTGGAAATAACTTTCAGATTAAACTTGTTAAGCCCATTCATAGATAATTTGCACGAAAACAGTTCTGAACAACTTAGAAAATGGTCTTTGTCTAACTACCAGAAATAATTTATTGATAGAAATGTCTTTTAAAAAAGAAAATTTCATATTAGGCATCCGTAAAGGTTTTTGTTTGAATGTTGGGGGTTAAGGAGTGTAATAGTCAAGATATTAGATAACTAAGTGTATGAAGTTGTCATCTATGTTGATAACAGCGGAAAATTAAAAATAATTATTAAATCATAACTTTTTGTCTCATGAAAACCATAAAAAAGTATAAAACTAAAGGTTTTTGCATGTGAACTATAGAAAGCTTTAGATTCATAAAAACTAGATTTTTTTTGATATTTTGATTTTTGAGGTATACTTTTAAAAGTGGATTTAAAGCACTGATGAAAAAACATTAACTTCTGTCGTTATGATTATTGATTTAGACAATAATGATTTTAATCTTTGATTATCAAAACACTAAAGTCATCTTTTTAACATTTGCTTGGTAGCATTAACTCAAGTCTAAAGTACTATTTTATGTGGCACTCTTAGAATTTTTGTATTCATTGTACACGCTGAAATAGTACCATTAAAGATATGACGAACTTTACAAAAAACAGTTAGGATACTATAAATCTAACTGCCAATTTATACACTTTCGGCTAAGGAGAAACATAATAAATTTGACGCTTTTCTTAGCAAGGAAGCCATATTTTTGATTTGATATCATTTTTTAATACAAATTTATATGTGTTAATGCGGGGGTAAACGATAAGCGCAATTACTTTTAGCAAACATACTTTGAAAACCAATATGCTATAATTTTATATTATAATTTGAATAAAAATTGTAAATTGTTAGTTCTTGATGCAGCATTCAAAGATAATAACAAGATAGAACGATTTTCAAAAAGGAATGTTTGATTTTATCATTGAATTAAAATAAAATTCTAATAGTAATATATATGTCTGTGTTATAATGAAATTGATGGTATACGTTAGCACCAAATTACATATGCTAGTAAATACAAGCCACATAAATAACATTTTAGTATGTCTGCAACCTTTTTTTTTGAATCATGAGTAAGTAAGAATATTTTTGTAACAAAATGATATCATGTATCGAAAGAACATACTTTATTGTTGTATCCTCTACTTTTCCAAAGATTATTGTATCTCAAATCTTAATTCTTTAGATGGTAAACAAAAACATTCATGCAAGAGACATTCCAAGGAGCATATTACACTGTAGAATCTTGAAAAAGTTGGAACTAATTAATTCACTCCAGAGGAGCAATGTTGTATGCATTCAATTTTAAAATAAAAAAAAACTATATATTATCGAACTTAATAGGTCAGGTAAGTGGGGCTTCCAGGCGCGTTGCGCCCTCTAGCCCTGAAGATGTTTAGTATAAATGAAGTTTTTATTCGGAAAATTGTTAGTCTTCTGGTGTGAATTC